TTGCTTCTCAGAGGTGTCTTCCAGATATAGCTGGTGCTTTAGGTTTTGAGTCTCTAATGGTTCTGAGGCTGTCTCATTTTCATTATACCAGGAAGGACAACTGATTAGATCAATCACAACACTTTAGCCCAAGTGATACAATCAGCAACACAATAGCATCAAGTACCTCTTAGACAATGACAATTTGTGGTAGTTATTATTCTATCACCTTTAACTACATGAATTAAATTAAAATCAAGGACCAAGCCAACATATGTTTATAGTGAATAAACTCTTCAATGTAGCAACTTTACCCTTCTGGATGGGGAGTTAGAAGGAGCTGGGGAGGGAGGAATAGGTAAGTAGAAGGATAGGGGAAGGTTAGCAGTGAGGCCAGAGGGGACAGGCAAGAGAAGGAAAGAGAATAAAAGAAAGATAAAGAAGAAATACGAATTAGGGGCAGAACAGGAACACAAAGGGAGATGAAGAACACCAAAGGAAGACACCAAGGGAGCAAGGCTGAGAGAGAGAGAAAGAAAAGAGAACAGAAAGAAAAAAAGAGAAAAATAAAAATTTTAAAGGATTAGCAAAGAAGAAAAAAATTAAAGATAAGAGCAAAAAGAAATAGTGATAATTTTGAAAATAACTAATAAAAGATAAAAATGAAGGGCCTCCTTCAGGGTTTGTCTCTGCTGTCACAATAGACAACGTGGGCAGCAGTGTGCTGTTATAAGTCAATGAGTCCCAGTAAGCCAGTCACAGACTTGTGAGATTCAGACAGATTTCTGGCTGCAAGTTCCAAGCTGAACTCCCTGTACTCCTGCAGGGTTGAACTCTGCAAGGTTCTACTGCAGGTTCCAGCCTGCCTTTCCCCTGAAGATAGCCCAGGTTCTGATGATCCCTCCAACTTACCAAGCACAGTGGTCTGGTGTGCCTTTATTGAAGAGAATCTCTTCACTTTTCTTCAGTTTCCATCAGGGAGCCTGAGAGAGGCCCTCTCTCTGTTGTTCACTTCTACAGCTCAGGACAATGGCCTTTATGCTCCCCTGTGCCTCTGTCGTGTGGATCCAAGTTGCAGCTCTGTCTCCTGGTCGAAAGTGAGCAGAGTGAGCCGGACTGAGCAGAACGCACTCAGCCTGCACACCTCTTTCTTAAAAGAAGTTCATTCTTCCCAGTAAACCTATATAACAAAAAAGTACTCAAATATTATTTTAATATGTATTTCATCAATTCAAAAAACTTGTGGAATTTTTCTTTTTATTATATATAAGCACCTACATTATATCTTCAATTTTATTTCTTGATCTGTAAAGTCTTAACACAAAATTTTTTCCAACCCATTAAATTTGAATAAAATACAAACTTTCTAAAAGAAGCATAGTCTTTCAGATGCTCAGTGCTACATTAAATTATATTATTACAATACCACTAAATATGATCAAACATGAAGTTCAAAAAAGAAAAAGCCCTTTATGCTCACAATCCTTGATCAACTACAAATAAAAAATTACTTATGAGTTAATTGATAAAATTTAAGAATCATCAATTTGATATATCCAATCATGATGTTATAATTCAACTCACAGCACTGTGAATACAAGTAAACATTGCTTTGCAAAAATTATAAAATGGTCATATAAGTGGCCAAAAATGTGCTTACATTCGTTACCTTGGGGTTATTATCAAACTGAAACTAGCACATAATACTGCGTAAAGAGAATTCGCAGCTGCCTAATAACACCTTCGTGGACTCTTAGCAGTGCACAGACCCCTAATTTGAGAAACACTTCTCTAACCAACATAAACCAATGTGCCTCTAACTAAGCTTATGTGGCTCTTGGTGCCTCTACTTCTGTTGCTTCTTCCTCCTGGCTTCCATCTGCACAACTCCTAAATCCCTTTCCCCATTTCTGAAGTGGTGATCCCAAGCCAAAGGGTAGGTCAGACACTGGAGAGGCCAAACAACTCACAGTGATAGGGGAACAAGTTAGTGCCCTGTAGAGAGCTGTGGGGAGATGTTTTTGCCTCCATTTACCCATCAGGAATATAATTGCTATAAAGAACTGTTTCTAGTCTGGCATGGTGGCACCTGCCTGTAATCCCGGCATTCTGGAGGCTGAGAGACAAGAGGATTGCAAGTATGAGTCCAGCCTAGGCAACTTAGAGATTTAGTAAGAGCTTGTCTCAAAGTAAAAAATTTTTAAAAGGTGGGGATGTAGCTCAGTTCAGAGGCTCTGGGTTCAATTTCTAGTACTGCAAAAGAAAAAAACAGTTTCTTTGAAGGACACGTATATAGTATTACTCATATTCCACAGATTCAGAGTTGGCTTGAGCCAAAGTAACAAATCAGTGTAAATTTAAATGGGGTTCATAACTGGATGGGCAACTAATCCTCAGTTATAGAAACACCTACCAGATATTACTTTTGTGCAATAAGAGAGAAATGTAAGCTGTAAAACAGAATTATCAAGGGTGAATAAAATAATCAACTGCCCTAGAATAAAGGTAAGTCAAAGGCAAAAAACTGATATTTTTATGTCTTTGGTATTAACATAGAATAGCTTCTCTCATTCAATAGTACTTTTGAGTGCCCAATAAATGTTCTGAGTTATGGGAAACACAATACTTGGCTCCAGACTTCACAGAGCTAAGAAAAACAAATGTAAAAAGAAATAATATCTCTTGGCTGAAGGGCCAGGTACTTTTAGATGTACTATATTATTTATTTCTCCAAGTGCTAGAGATATATATTATTACTCATTTTATATTGGAAGAAACAGAGACTTGAAAAGATAAAGTAACTTGCCCAAAGTCCCACATCTTGCAAGTATCAAAACCATAGTTCAGAGCTAGGTCTCTTTATAAATCAAAAATCATTGAACTTGTCATAAATATTAAGTTTTCTCCCAGTGGACCTACAAACTATGGGAATAAATGCAAATTTTTAAAATTTTGTAAGGGTATACACACACAATGCTGAAAATATTCAAAGAAGATAGAGAATATGAACTGTCTTCTCCAGGTTTATAGACATTAACAGGTAATAGCAAGGAAAGAAGCTACCAGATACTTAAATCTACAACGTATATCTAAAAGACAATGGCAAAATGCTATCAGGAACATAAGAGTTATAATATAAGAAATAATTACTGTGCATTTTATTTTACTATTGTATTTTCTTCTTTTATTTAATTTTTTTCAGTCCTGGGGATTAAACTGGGGGCCTTATACATGCTAGGTAAATGCTCTACTAGTAAACTATCCCCCCAGCCCATATAGTGCACTTTAAATCATCCAGTCTTGTGTGTCTATTCATACACACTGTTAAAAATTTCTCTTAAAGCTCACATTCATTTTAAAAGCACCTGTATTCTGAGTTACTGGGTCTTTATAGTCTCTATTTTGTCTTCTCCTTTTTCAAACTCAGCCTTGTTGTCCATATACAATACATGTCTCCCTTCCCTACTTCCTAGCATCTCTGGGGCACTGTCTCCCACTGAGCTTGACTGTGCCAGTCTGGTGTGATGTATCAGTTATTTGTGGCCTAGATGAAAAAAAAGAGCACTAATGAGATTTTATATGTAAAGCAAGAGACTTCTGCATTTGAAGCTCAGTGTAGTTTCCAATACTGAGATGACATTAATTAGTGCTGCACCTATGACCTGAGAGGTTAGGTAGTCTATGGATATAATTTATCACAGGAGAAAGCTGAGGGTATTTCTTTTGAAACAAGACCATGTTCTCAGTGTGCAACTGTTCACCTTCCTGTGTTATCCCACTCATAGCACAACCAGAAACTATCCCCATGCACTAAGATGAATGTATGCTCTCTGCACTTGCCCTGTGGCTTTACACAAACAGGAAACGGTGTGTGCAAGGGACTCAGCCCACCCAAACTCCCAAAGGGGATGTAATAACCGTCTGCCAGTTATGACACTGGTCAGCCCTTGTTCTCTGGAGGGGAATGAAGAGATGTGAGAAGGAGCAAAATCTGTCACAGATCACAAATTGATCCAGGAGACTGAGCAGCAATGACAACACTGCCTTTTGGAAGTAATGGGGTAGAAGCAAAAAAAATAAAAATGGAGATACTCATCATGAAGTAATGGGGGAGAACTAGGTTAAAGCAAATTTGGGACACTTTGTCACCTAAAGATATTATTTTTTAGCAAGAATACACAAGCAAAGAATAAAACAACAGAGCCAGTAGCCACTTTTTAAAAATCTCAACACAGAATATAAGGGTTACCCCAGGATCTTAGCTATCTTCTGCTGCCACATAATGAGAATGCCGTGAATGTTTGCTGAATGAATGACTGATGTCACTAGCGTGCAGCTTCATGGAGGCAGGAAGCCATCCCTCATTCTTCCACGCTTTCATTGCCCTCTAGCTTCCAAAGCACTTGCAGATACATCATTCCATGTTTTCTCAATAATTCTGTGGAATAACACAGCAGGAATATTGCTGCCATTTTACAAATGAGAAGATGATGATTCAAAAAGACAGAATGGCTGAGCCCGGGTGATACAGATATGCCCGAGGCTTCCCTGGAAGGCCCTCTGGTCTAGAGCCCTTAACTTCATCTGCAAAGACAACCCCTGTTTTTGCTCTTCTTATGTCTCCCTCCCATTTCTGTGAGGTTAGTGGCCACGCAGCACTGGGAACAATCCAGTTGTTTAGTAATCATCGCTAATACTTAATGAGCTTAGTAAATGTTACCTTTGTGCTTCAGATTTCTTATCTCTAAGGTTTATTGACTACCTATCTACCACCTCATACAGTGGCTTTGAGATTAAGTGAATTAATACCTTTAGAAAAATTGCTGGTGCATACTGAATATCAGTCCCCACCCTTCTCTCTAATCTTGCAACCAAAGCCCACTTGCCTACAGGTAAACATTTCCCCGACTTCCTACATACGCAGAGAAAATGGCATAACTTCAAGGTTTATCATTGTTAGGAATCCAAGGTCATCATGAGGCTTAGTTTAGAGACCGAAGTGCTTCATGTCTTCTGACTACTAAAATGACTTCTATTATTTTTCCCATGTGTAGTCATGTTTTAAGAGTTCATCCACTGCCGGCGTTTATTTAAAAATAGTCTAAGTGGCCTCCTTACTAGGAAATACAGTATTTCCCTAAGCCCTTTCAAATCACCAAAAATAGTTCAGTCTTCCATTACTCCCTGAGGACCACAGATTGAGGGTCATTGTACTAATCTAACCCTTTGTTTCTAAGATGAGAAACAAAAGACCCGGGATGTTTGGATGCTGGCGCATGGTCACTGAGCTAGTTAGAGTCAAAACCTGAGAGAGGATCTGAATCTTTTGACTCAGCTGAGAATCTTGATAACTTCCTTACTCCAAACCCATTATCTCATTAGGTCCATTCTTCCACTGAGACTCTCAGAGCAGCATCCATTGCTCTTGCTATCTGAATTTCTTGAAGTCAATACCAGCCCATAGTATATTTTCACTCTTCCCAGTGCAGAGTAAATGTTTCATAACCAAGCAGCAGTCAAAAGATCTACTGTTAGTGGGCCAGGGATTTAGCTCAGTGGGTTCACCGCCTGCTGCACAAGCGCAAGGACCTGAGTTCGATCCCCGGTACAAAAAAAAAAAAAGATCTACTGTTAGAAATGGAGGCATTGACCTGACTATTTCAAAACATGGTCTTTGACTTTCCATTTGTTATAGTTTTGAGTCAATTATACCCTTCAGGTAGCCCCCTCTTGTGCTACAAAGTTTGATTTTTTTTCTCTAATCAAGTATTAGCTCCCATCCATCATTCTAAAGTTTTATGGTTTTCCATCACCCATTTCTCCCCCAACCTTTTTTTCTTTCTCCTCTACCTCTTTCTTCTTTTCTTAAACAGTTTATGACTAGCTCTCTAAGAGACAAGCCACCCACCCAGTTGTTTTTACTGGCAAATTTAATGAGCGAATTTCTATTTCCATCTTTCCACTTACTAAGGAAATGTTAAATAGAACTAGACCAAGATGGCTAGTATGGAAATCCACTTAATCCTCCCATTGGCTGACATCAAACCAATGACATAATACAAGCTACTATGCATCTTTCCAGTCATC